ATACAAATATATAAAAAACATGTCTATGAAGTGTTTTGCTCCAAATACCAAACAGATCACCCATTCTAGCCATGCCTCATATCCCTCTATTTCACTTCCTGTTTCAAAAGTGCTGATTTGGGGTATAAAGCTTTAAAAAAAATTAAAATTGATAAAAATAAAAAAGTATGGGGCTGAGCTCATACGGGACCCGGCAGCTACCGTCTAAACTAAATACTGCCGTGATGAAACGCCATATCATGGATTATCAAGGATTATCTCTGAAACAGTATGGAGCTCAAAGGCTTTCTCTCTTGCCGGTTATACCACAAGGTGAGTTCCTTTTTATTTCCTGCTTCTTCACACACATGCTCTCCAGTACAGGTTAGCTCTGAGTGTTAGCGATGCTAATGTAAACACAGACCATATTACGTCCAAAACAGTCGGGCATTGTTTCTGATAGCAACTTTCTGATAGGCCTGTGGGTGTAAAGCCAGCTTACATTTCATATCGGACGCAAATCTGGATCAGCTCCGTTGTAGCCCCGTTTTTAGAGATTTGGGTACGGAGGAAAAGAGAGAGAGCTTTATTTTCTGACACTGCGTGAGTTCCCTGACACACCGGGGACACATATTTATGTATAAAAGACATCAAAAAGTGCATTTTGCATGATAGGAGACCTTTGAAAGTAAAGATTGGGACCTCAAACTCATCAGGAAAATGTTTACTAATGTAATAAATCAAGTGAGAAGTTGGCAAATGTTCTCATAGACTTCTATACATTCTGACTTCTCTCAGTCGCCCATCATTTATTAAATGAACACCATGCTGTATTGAAGAAGACTTAAAACTAAAGACTAGGACCATGTGACCCATCGTTGCAGCGTGTACATTCTCTTTTAGATCGTTTATATCATCCAAGTTCAATATTTGGGATTCTGACTCACGGTCGGACGAAACAAGTAATTTTTTTTATGGGATTCTGGAACATTATGTTGGGAATTCTTTGCCTATTTAGCGATGAACCCATAGCGAATAGGCTCCTAAGTCTATCTGTGTGTCTGTAAGAGAGTGCACACACACCTATACTTGTTTCAGGAGTGCACGTATTATTCCCTAAATGATCTGTATGACAGATTAGAGATTGATTTCCCGGTTCAACAAGGAAGCAGACGTTGATGTGAGGACGTTCTGCCTCGGGGGAACAGCCTCTCTCAGACGGAGAGGTCAGGAGGAAAGAGCGTGGACAATCAGAAGCACACTTCAGAGAGGCGTGTGGGGAATGGAGACAGATCAAAGAGAGAGAGTCTGACTGCAGGCACCGTGTTTTATTCTGTATAATACGACACAGGCCTTTACGGAGACTTCAGAGGATCCTATACGGCACATTTTGAACGATTCAAAGTGGAATCATTTTCTCGTAGACTTCTATACAATCTCTTTTAACAACCAGAAGGCGCCTATAAGGAACCATCATTTACTAAATGGACATCATGGTGATTGGAAGAAGACTTGAGACTAAAGATTAAGATCATAAACGTATAAGAAAGTGTTTACAGGAGAGAAGTAGGCTCATTTTCTCATAGACTTCTATTCAATCAGACTATGAGGAACCATCCTTTACTAAATGAAAACTTGAAACTAGAGATTAAGACCATAAACTCATCAGGGAAATGTTTACTGAGGCAATAAATTAAAGGGGACCTATCATGCAAAATGCACTTGTGGACGTCTTTTATACATGAATATGTGTCCCCGGTGTTCCAGGGAACTCACCAAGTGTCAGAAAACACAACCCTCTCTATTTTCCTCCATACCCAAATCTCTAAAAAAGGGGCTGCAACGGATCTGATAAAAACTGATCCAGATTTGAACACTGTCCTGACGTCAGGACGGTGGCGCTACGGCTATTGGGCCAACTCCACCAATCAGGAGGAGACAGCCACGGCCATTGCCGTTCGAAAGCGCTGGAGACGCTGTAGTACATATGCCAGGCCTGTAGATGGTGCTGTTCTCACAGAATCAGCCCTTGCAAAAACAGGGCTAAAAAAGTGCAAATTGAGCGAAATGAGGCATGGCTAAAATGCATGATCTGTTTGGTATTTTGAAAAAGAAAAAGTATAAATATGCCTTATATAGGTATGGCCCTACACTATATTATTCAAATATAGCATTATAGGTCCACTTTAAGTGAGAACTAAGGACATTTCCTCATAGACTTCTATACAATCTCCCTTCTTTTAAAAACCGGAGAAGGCGCCTATAAGGAACCATCATTTACTAAATGAACATCCTGCTGATTTGAAGAAGACTTGAAACTAGAGATTGAGAACATAAGCTCATCAGGGAAATGTATACTGAGGCAATACATCAAGTGAGAACTAAGGACATTTTCTCATAGACTTCTGGTAATTAATTTGTCGTCAAAACTTATTCAAGGATCACAAAATATCCTCCAAAAACTCCTGGAAACGTATTTATAGTCCCAAATATCATCTCAACTCATGTTAACTCAATAAGTATCTCAAAATACAAACAAACTCTAGGAAACTGAATAATCCCTAAACTCCAATCTCATTTATAGTCCCTGCAATCTGACCTCTTTAAGCCCCATAAGGACCCATCATCTACAAACCAAACATCATGCAGCAAACAGAGAACCATCTTCTTCCCACTTGTTGAAACATCAAGCAAGTGAAGCTAATCCTTTAAAAAAAGTCAAGCTTCCAAAACCCAAATCATGAGAGGAAGTTGGTGTTAAGTAGTTTGCTTTGAAGGTCCCTTCTCTCTGGCCGGCAGCCATCAGATAAGACTTTGAATCTGTGTTGACTTTACTCTTTATATTATTACTACGGCTCATTCAGCTTCTGAAAACACGAGCAGAAAGCGACCTCTCTCTGTCACTGTCTCTTCACGAGAGCTCACTTCCTCCAGAGGTGGGAAGTAGTGGAGTACAAATACTTTGTTACGGTACTTAAGTACATGAGTCTGGTATCAGTAGTTTTACCACAAACACAACACACACACACACACACACACACACACACACACACACACACACACACACACACACACACACACACACACACACACACAACACAACACACACACACACACACACACACACACACACACAACACACACACACACACACAACACACACACACACACACACACACACACACACACACACACACAGCAGAGTTGAACTCCATAACAGGAAATGCAGGACAATGAGGAGTTACTCAGAGACAGAGAGACGTTACTGTCTTCAGAACATCAGCTGAGAGTTTGGGAATCTTATAGATAGACAGACAGACAGACAGACAGACAGACAGACAGACAGACAGACAGACAGACAGACAGAGAGAGAGAGAGAGAGAGAGAGAGAGAGAGAGAGAGAGAGAGAGAGAGAGAGAGAGAGAGAGAGAGAGAGAGATAGATAGAACTGCAGGTCTTTTATAAGAAAGGAGAAACTCAAACTATGTAGCAGTGAGGGTTAACCCCTAACCCTCACTGCTACTTAACAATTATTTTACAATTATTTATCTATTTACCTAATATATCATATTTCAATGACTTGCATATAGACTCTTATTGCACTATTTCACTTTTTTAAACTATTTTTCTTCTTGTATTTACTATTTACTTGCACTATATTTGTCTGTTTATCTGTGTTTTGTTGCACTGTTGGAGAAGCCTGCAGACACAAGATTTTCATCGACATAAATACACTGTAGCTATGTTCGTTTGACAAATAAAGAACCTTGAACCTTGAGTGAGTTCTCTGCAGTCAGAGGTGAATAAATCATAATATGTTGAAAAGTCTGAAAAACCGTGAAGCTTTCTGATGAGGTCTTGTTCCATCATGCTGCCTATACCCTGGGATCTCTTTGAGTAGTAAACATACGACTCAATGACACAATGTGGACTAAAGTCATTCTTAATAAAGTAGAAGAAGTATTCCTCATGTTGCTGCATCACCTCAAATGCCCCTGGAAACATTACACTGATCAAAAACCACACACACCTCTTAAAACAGGCTTGAAATGAAGTCAATGACCACAAAACACCTGGAAACTCATTCCTTACCTAAAATACTCACATAAACTACTGGAAATCTTTCGTTATCCCAAAATATCTCACAGAAACTCATGGGAACTCTTTTATATTCACAATATATCCTCTAGAAACCCATTGAAACTCATTACAAATCCCAAATATCACAACTCATGGAAAGTCATTTAAAAAAGAAACTACAAAAGGTCCTGGAAACTCATTAAAAATCACAAATTATTCGACAGAATCATCGAAAGTCATTAATTATCTCTAGATATCCTCCAAAAATCTCTGGATACTCACTTATAACACCAAAATCTCCTAGAAACTGATTGAAAAATCCCAATACATCATATCCTTTATAGTTTCAAATATCATCAAAAAACTCATTAAGCATCACAACATATACAAACACTAATTTATAGTTGGAAAATATCATCAGAAATGTCAAATAAACTCGTAAAAATTCACCAAATATCCTCCAAACTCATAAAGAATCCCCAAAAGTACTACAAGAAGTCCTGGGAAATTAGTTTGAATCCCAACATTTCATCCAAAAGCTCCTGGAAACTCAATAAAAATCACAAAATATTCCAAAACTCAGACAACAAGAAGACTCCTTAATTTTAACACATTAAAAATGTGAAGTTAAAAAAGGCTGGAAGATGGATCCAGAAGATCCTGGAAATGTGAAGAAGTGATGCTGAAAGTGAGTTATTAAGGATGTGACTGAAATACCAAATTTTGGGGGAAATAATCAGCATTTAAAGTAAATTTAAGTGACATTAAATGTGACTTTCTGACTGTCTCTCTTCTCGCTGAACACCAGAACATCAGACTTTAATTAAACATGTAATTAAAGAACATCAAAAGTCCACAATGCACGGCAGTCTCCGAAACCATAGAGACACAAATCACTTTAATGGACTTCAGTTAAAAACGGAATAAAGTGTTTCACTCACCGAGCAGAAGAGGGTCTGATATTCCGTGAAGATGCACCGTAATTTAGGAGTTTATTACCGGTCAGAGTTTACCGGACAGTTTTTAACCGGACAGTGTTTACCGGACAGTTTTTAACCGGACAGTGTTTACCGGTCAGTGTTTACCGGACAGAGTTTACCGGACAGAGTTTACCGGACAGTTTTTAACCGGACAGTGTTTACCGAACTGAGTCTACCTGCAGTTTAAAGTGAACTCATTTACTGTAGGAGGAGAGGAAACTCATGATGCCTTCAGGGACCGCTCGGAAAAATCTAAACTCAGAAATATAACTCAAATCACAACGTGCGGACACTTGTTTTTTTTATTGTATTTTATTTTAAAGGTCAGTGGCGGCTGGTGGAGAATATTTGAGTTGGGGCTGTGGAAATGTTGAGAAATGACCCCTTAAATGATGACTTCTGGTGATGTTAGAGGGGGGGGGGGGGCCTCAAATTGAGGCTTAAAAATATGAGAAGACTGATCAATACCTCCATAATCTTCAGTGTGGTTAGCTATGAATCTTCCAAAACTTCCAAACACCTTGTCCTGGACATAGTTTCTACAGCATAAACTGTGCAACAGTACAGTAGGCCCACACAAACTGCAGAACACCGGGGCTTTGGGAACACTCAAATGATTTAATTCCCATTTCAAATCAGGAGACTAAATACGAACATTATATGCAGACACAGATGTGGTTCAGAAACACAGAAATATTAGAAAACAGAGCATTAAGGCAACAAATCTAGTTTGATGGATGCTGTCAAAACTCAACTATATAATATACATCAAAATACAACTATGTACAAAGCCAAATGGGATCACAGGAACTAAGATGAAGTGTGTGTGTGTGTGTGTGTGTGTGTGTGTGTGTGTGTGTGTGTGTGTGTGTGTGGTGTGTGTGTGTGTGTGAGAGAGATGGAGATCTGTAGGTTTAAGGAAGGCAGAGGATGCCCTCAACAGGCCAGTTAGAGAACTACAACATCTGGAGGAAAAGAAGGAAATAAATTGAATGTGACCCTTTTAGAATACACATAAAACACACAAACACACAATGTGTGTGTGTGTGTGTGTGTGTGTGTGTGTGAACTCCTTCTGAGTGGCAAACCTCTCAATGACTCTGGTGTTGAAGTCAGGAATGCTCCTAATGAGTTTTTTCTCGATTGACAGCATAACCAGAGCATTCAGGCGATCCTGTGTCATGCTGTTCCTCAAGAAAGTCTTGATCCTTTTCAGAGTGGAAAAAGCACCTCTCTGCCTCAGCCGTAGCCATGGGTGTGGTTACAAGAACCTTCAGAAGACTGACAGTCTCTGTGAATGTCTCCTGCAGATTATTGTCAATGAAGAACTGGAGCAGAGTAACTGCACCACTGCAAGCCCTGAACTGGTCATTGTCTTAGACGAGGGACAGTTCCGTCTTGAGCTTTGCCTTGTCCAGTAGAGGGTAGGCCTCCACAGTTGTTTCCAGCGCTGCTTCAGGGAATGTTCGGCTGTGTTGCTGGAACAGGTCTCCTTGCAGGAGGGTGGAGCTGATGAGGTGTTTGGTGAAGGAAAATCTCTCCTTTGCGTGACTCAGTATGGTATCACATACCTATGAAATAATGCACAATGAAAAAATCAAGACATATTAAATAACAGAATCACCTTTTCACATCTATCAGTCATAATGTCATTAGTGTCCCCTTATAAGATGTGTAACAAACAAAGAGCTTTCTTGTGAATGGAACCAGAATAACAGGACAGCTATCTGAGCGTCAACAGAACAATATTACTGTTTAAAATTAAGTCACTACAATATATACATTTAATTTTTACACTTCATTCATTCATTGTTGGGCCCTTTCTGTCCACTGTGGTTGCTTCTGGAAGCCTAAACCTTTTCTGATCTGTCTTGATCCCCTTTGAAATGTAGAGATTGTGAGACACTTTTTGCAGTTTAGGCCTTGTTAAGTGTATACAATTCAGAATGTAATAAGCAATAGGCCTTTCCATGTGGATATTTTAACTAGCCTACATATTTATTGAATTTACAGAAAATGGGCTTTATTGTGAAATGTATCATTATTGTGATATGAAATTACCTATATTATGAAAGGAGCTTTTGGTCATAGAACACGTTCCTATTACTGCTTACCTCTCTAGCCAACAGCTGTTGCTCTTCATGTCCAAGTGCTCATCAAAGATAGCAGAAGCTTGTCGTTGAAATTGAAAAACAAAAAAACCCATTTCTTTTTTTGTTGTTTCAATTAGAACTAAAAAACAAACGGTTAAAACGTACCTTCGTCTAAGTAAAGTGTGTCCAAATAGTTTTTAAGTAAGAAGAAATTAACCTATTAGTTACATTCTGCTGGTCATATTTACAGTTAAGACTTGAGCAATACACAGAAAAAACTCTTCAACAACATATATTTCAAACTCAATATAGTAACTCACACTACCAGATCTTGTCATAATTTCTTACGAACAGAAGTGTTATCACACTTGATGTCTTTACATCAGTAACATTAATAAAATATTTAAAGCAATAAACACATGATTGACATCTAAATACGGGTATATCCCACAAATGATATAGAAATATTTCAAAAAAATTAAACATCATTTTGTGTACACAAAATGGTACAATTATTTGTGTATTTACTTTTATTTATTGTTGCTAAACCGTGAATTTATTGTTTTGAAAAGCTCAACTGTATCTGTATTTATTTTGGTGACATTCATATCATTTTATGGTTTATCTGTACTGTTTGAGAAACAGTAAGAGTAAGTAGCGCCAAGGTGGAACCTTTGGCAGGTGAGCGGTGACACCTGGGTTATCTTAGGGGGGACACTTCCGCCCCCTCCTCAGAAGCAATCCAGACGATCAACCGGATCCTGTGTCTATTTTACCCTGCTGCACTTTTCCGTTTTCTACAGGTCAGTACATGAAAATGATCGATGTTAACATATGTAAATGAGATATGTTAGAGATGTTTAAGAGAGTGTGTCTGTGAAGGACCAGAGTACGCAAAAATCAGGAATGCAGGTTGAGGTGCAAAAATAAGGATTTTATTTACCCAATATATGTACAGTTTTAAGATGGGTAATAAAATCAATTACGTTTAAACAAAAAGGTGTAGATATAAACAGACAAAAATGGGTGGCATCCTGTGTGCTCTTCTGCCCAAGAGCAACTCACATACGCCCCCTCATCTCCACACTGCAGGAATGTATAGCCCTACTTGTTAGGATGCGTGGAAGGGTAGGACCCAAATGCAGACTATCAAAAAAGGTAAAAGGTCTCGAAACAAAAAGCGAGCTTTATTTTAAAAGCTGAACAAAAACAAGGCATGAAACACATAGGTTGTACAAAAACTGACCGTGACCAACATGGAGGGAGACAGGAGAGACAACCGTAACTGACATGGAGGGAGACAGGAAAAAACCAACAATGAACCGACAGGGGAACAAAGGAAGAGACAAGACTAAATACAGGGAGAGGTAATCACAAGACAAGACACAGCTGGGGTAAGGGAGGCAGAAACACAAGGGCAACAGGTGAACACAATCAGACAATCAGACACACCAGGGAAACTAACGACAGGAAGGCAAACACAGGAAGAAGGAACCGAGAAGACACAAGGAGGAAACATTTCAAAACAAAGGTGGAAAAAAGAAAACATAAATACAAAAACCCTAACACTACTGGCCAGTCCATTGTTGCGTGCAGGGGGAACAGGCTCTAAAAAGGGGTGGCTTAAATGGAGTGGCCTCTTTAAACACCCCTCAGGGTTTGAGAGGATCAATGGCGTAGTCCAATTAGCTGACACATCTATAAAGGCAGGTGTTTTCCATCACCTCAGCCTTTTGCCAGGAGCAAGGTGAGCTGTAAGACACTGACAATAGGATTACACACAACACAATTAACAATAGATATTTTAAACAAGACTGCATGCACTCAATCTAGCAAAAACAAAGCTGTTTCAAATCAATGTGTCAAATCAAATCAAATCAAATCAAGGTTTATTTATAAAGCACATTTAAAAGCGATTTTTGGTCGGGCCAAAGTGCTGTGCATGTAATAACTCAACCAGAGGCCTGTACTACGAAGCTGGTTCAACTTAACCTGGATATGTTGGAGTTAGCCGGTTGGCGTAATCCAAAACATACGCGCTGGCGCTAAACTGTACTACGACGCTGGATATCAAGTGGATCGCTCAAGCCGCCGTGTCCTATCTAGTTAGGTGCGCGTTCACATGAAAGGGGTGGTATTTGGAGCATTCGACCAATCTCAAACACGGAGAAGCGTACTGACAGCGCAGCGTCATACTTCCTGAATGAAAAGTGAACTTTAATATTAGTCAAATATGAGGTAGTTAAACTTTAAACATCCATGACTTAAACACTTTACCCAGGATAAAAGCCACATAGCTGCACCTGCAAGGTGAGTACAGCTGGTAAAAGAAAAAGTGTTTGAATGCGTACATTAACAGGTTTATGATATCACTGCCCCGTCCAAGACACGAGTGGATCTGACTTTAATTAGGAGAATTTGACTCGAGTGTTTCGTCAATTTAATGTGTTGCTTAAAATAATACTTCTGCATACAGTATGTGACACTGTGAGTGTTGCACGGCCAGATACGGCTCAGCTGACTCAGATAAGGAGATATATGATACATTATGATGTGATATGATATGAATGATAATGGGACACATCTACGTCTGCACTCACAGTGCCGCGGACTGTACTTTAATGTTACTCTGATCCGGTTACTTATGTTGTGGCAGATATTTAAGTAAGATTTCTTAACGCTAATGTTATAATAGTCAGATTGCTCTGAAGATGGGAGGGCATATTCTATTAATGTTCACGTTAACACAGTCAGTTGATTTTGGCCGGTCGTCTTTCCTGCAACGGCAGTTTAAACTGTATTTCCTTTCTCCTCCTGTCATATGAATTGATCGCTTTAAACTCCGCACACGGAGCTCTGATTGGTCAGCAGGCAGTGCTTTCACTGAGTTGATCTCTTAGCCTGCCACCTAACCTGCTCCGGAGCAGGTTTGCCGCTCAGCATAAGTTACCATGGAGATCTAGCCTGCTAAAAAGAGAACCAGCGTCGTAGGACCGGAAAGCCAGAGATTTCCCTGAATTTAGCCGGCTAAGCGAAAATCCAGCTTCGTAGTACAGGCCTCTGGTCTC